CTCATTAGACTCTTAAGCCATGGGAATTTCATGACATAAATCTTTCCCCGCACTTATTTGTTCAAGAGACCCAGAAATGCAACAAAACAAAGACAACGTTCATTTAGAAAGCTCAAGGAAGCCTTTCTCATTGTTTCTGAAGCACCTGAGAGGATTTTTGTTGGCTCACACCACAAATCTAGCTTCTTTTGAACTGTCTGAGCAACAACAACAAAATGTTGAAGGCATAAAAGAGCGCTACATATAGGAAATGGGAAAGATCATTTCCAGCCAACTCCCTTCTGAGATTGGCAGGATTAACAAAAACTAAAGAAATAAACAAAATTGTCGCCCCATTTTACAAGAACGGTAGCTTCAAGTCAGAAGACAGTCTTCCTAGCATCACCTCCACCCGTTTGAGAAAGGCAAACAGTAGACGCCGACACCCCAAAAACCCACCTTAGGAACGGCATTGTACTTTAAGGGACCTTAAACTGAGTTTTCGGTATTTCTAGAAGTCATGAAAACGACTGTTGGTCATTATGCACAATTAAATACTTCCACTTTTGGACAAATTTCATGACAAACATTCAGAACAAACAAGGCTTCTAACAGAATCTGACATGCAGGAGGCTCTTTGCCCCGTGCTCGAGTGAAACGGAAAATGTAAGAGAAGCTTTCGCGGAGAAAAGGCATGAGATATGCAGGCAAACAAACAGCAAGAAAATGCATCCAGCATCACTACACACTCTTCATCTAGAGAGAACTCCAAAGCTTACTCGTATGGATTGTAGAATTCAGTTCAAGTTAAAAGTTATTTCCTACTCACCCAGAGGATCCAGCAAACGTCTTTTCAGAGGGTTCCCGCACTAGAACGCTAACCACCTCCTCACCTGCAGCCGCTCACTTTATTTTCCTCCTTCATGTGCTCACCTGCAGCTAGCTACTTAATTTTTCTCCTTCAGGTACCTATCTGCAGCTGGGTACTTAATTTTAATACATAGTAGCAGCCTGCCCCCCTCCCTCCTCCTTTTCATTCAAATCTCTCGCTAAAATTATCCTTGTCTAAAAGAGAAAATGCAGAGGTAAGCTTTGTTTCTCTCTCTAGCAGATATCAACTGAAATAAAAAAAATCCCACAAACTTCCAAATTCTGGAACCAACTGGGTTTATATGTTAAAAAAAAACATCAGAACTTGAAAAAACTGTATATACAGATAGGTGATCTCTAAGTTGCATCCCAAAGTTCATTTGTATGTCAGTTGCATGGAAATTAAAACAGATATTTCCTCTCCAGAAGTAAAGCTACATCTGGTAGGTGGGTTCCTTGGCCAGACTACAAATCACTTTAATCCACCGAGCGGCTGACCTGCAGCACGGAGCTGTGCTAACGCAAGCTCAGGGAGCTGGGAGCCCTGCTAGCCAGAAGTGAGGAGAAAACATCTCTAAAAAGTCTTTGAAACTGGCAGTTTGCTCTATTTCACCACTTCCATCTCCGTGGGTCCCTAAGAAGTGACCTGGCCCCAGTGAGTCCTCTCCTTTTCCTCTGGAGTTTGCCTGTTGTCTCCTAGGCACTCCTCAGGCCAAACTTGCAGGCCTCCCTTCACTTTAACCAGAGCTGCTAATCCTCAGGAGGTGTCTGTTTGAGTCACTGGACTTCCTGGCAGTTCCCACAAATGTGTAAGTGACTGATGATGGTGCTTTAACCTTCCCAGAGGAATCTGCATTTTGAGTGAAGGATAGTATCCCTCAACGGGACTGGAATTTGTTTGGGGAGGCACAGTGGAGGTGAGCATACTGACCTGACCCATCAACACTGCTCTGAGCTGGTTTCCCACACACTGCTGAACCTGTTTGCTAAAAGCTGGGCCAGTTTTCAGAAGAACGAGGCAATGGCACACAGGTGTGGGACAGGGGCAGTTGGGGGGCGGGGGGGGGGTGTGGGTCGTAATTTGGAGCCTGCTTGTCCTGTTGATATCCTACTGCAGGGACAGAGAGCTTTGGGGGAGTGGGGATTAGGCCCATCAGCACAGCAGAACAGGCACACCCTCAGGCCCCAGTCAAGTTTGGCAGGTCCACAGTGTGGCTCAGGAACCTGCACTTTTAAACAGTCCATGTGATTCGGACTTTATACTGAGAAAGACATTAAGGGGCAATTTGACTATTTAAAAAATTTAGGTAATTATACTCTTATCATTTCCTGTAGGATACAAACATGAAATCCCACCTAAACCGCTAAATAAGAACAAAATAAGCAAAATGGCCTCCCTGCTTGATCATCCAGGTCCTTTGAATTGTACCTCATCATCGTAGCTTTAGGCTTCAAACCTACATTCCTTTTCAACAATTCTTAAATGCAATGCGGAAGCCTTCAGATGTAGATCTAAGAACACACACACACACACACACACACGTAGGTAGACTGAAGGTTTCAAATCAAAGGGTCAAATGTATATTATCAACTTATTTTTACATTTGAGCCTCAGTATAGGCCCAAATTTCTTACTCTTCAGACAGTAAGTTGGCATGAAATACGTAAATAGAAGAGCAGTTAAGAGAATTCTTACTCAGGACATCCTAAGATTTGGTTCCTAAAGTAAGACAGGCCTTGCAGTTTTCTTGTGTATACTTTGATAGGTCTAAAAAAAAAAAAAAAAAAAAAATTCCCGCCTGCCAGCATGACTCAGTGGTAGAGTCAGGAGGTTACGGTTCGATTCCTGGTCAGGGCACATACCAAGGTTGTGGGCTCCATCCCCAGTGTGGGGCGTGCAGGAGGTAGCTGGTAGGTGATTCTCTCTCGTCATTGGTATTTCTATCTCTCTCCCTCTCTATTCCTTTCTGTAATCAATAAAAATATATTTTTTTAAAAAACCAATCCCTGCATAGTATCAAGATAGTCATTTAACAAAAAGATCAAATTAATATTGTGGCAGATCTTAACTTCAGAATTTCCTGAACTAATTGCTTAAAATGTCAACCTTTGATATTAATATTTCAAACATTTGTAATATTAAAATGTTAAATATTAAAATATTAAGATGCAAATATTTATAATAGTTTTAATGAATAAAGTTCTTATTCTTGAGAGTCAGGGCACTCTTTTTCAAGCCCCCATTCAAGGGCAAAGCAGCTCATTTGTTTTCTTTTCACTAATCTTGAAAAAAGCAGTCACTAGGCCAGCGGTTCTCAACCTGTGGGTCGCGACCCCTTTGGGGGTCGAACGACCTTTTCACAGGGGTCGCCTAAGACCATCAGAAAACACATATATAATTACATATTGTTTTTGTGATTAATCACTATGCTTTAATTGTGTTCAATTTGTAACAATGAAAATACATCCTGCATATCAGATATTTACATTACGATTCATAACAGTAGCAAAATTACAGTTATGAAGTAGCAACGAAAATAATTTTATGGTTGGGGGTCACCACAACATGAGGAACTGTATTAAAGGGTCGCGGCATTAGGAAGGTTGAGAACCACTGCACTTGGCAAAGGCTCAGCTTGGTATTAGCAAAAGGCACTGCGCTCAGGAGCCTACCCTACACTTGAAAACTATCCTGTATTATCCTTGTGACTGGTCTCTGCAATCCCCAATCCAAACCTTCCAATTGGCCAGTGCACACAGTTAAAATACTAATTCTTCGGTTTAAAGAAAAATTATTTGCAGTCCTTTCCAGTCTTTTTCTCTCTAGTGGGTGGAAGGAACTGAGTGTAGAAATCAGAGAGAACAGGAATTCTGTTCAGCCAAAGAGAAGTGAGAAATCATCTGGATTCCCCCTACCTACTTAGATACTTTCCATCTGCAGAGAACACAAACTGGGATACTTACAATAGATGCAATACGCTTTCCCAGGTCCTCCCCGCTTCCTCCACTTACCTCTGACGTAACATTTCCAATCTTTTAATCGGTCACAGAATTTGAGCTGAATGGAAATGAACCTACAAAACCCCTGGTACTGTGGGCAGTTGGCCTGAGTATAAGGTTAGAGAGCGCACTAAACACTGAACTAAAAGCAATCCCTGAGTGTCTGGTTCACTATAGCTGGATACCTTCTCTAATGGTTCTAAAATCATAGTTAATAAATGCACTCAGCTGTACAATGGATGAACAAAATTGCGGCTTTCATTCCATCCACAAGGAGACTTTATATAGTGTCTTCCTCTGTAACATTTGTAGACAGCTGTCACTCTATACTCCTGGAAACTAAAAGAAAATTAAGACATCAGAGGCAAACTCAGGAGGTCCTGGGGACTTCGGCCATGAAGGGAGCAATGAGATTCAAGCATACAATTTCCTGAAGGAAAAACAAAAACACTTGAGTCTACTCCCCAGCCTCCATCCTCAAAGGCAGGTATAAAAGCAAGGGTCAGTTTAATAAACTTTCATCCTTCTTTAGTTGTTTTATTAAAAATAATATGCCTAAAAGCCTGCAGATGAGCTGAAATATCCTTGGAAAGAGGCATGTGACATACCAGTCTACCTACCATTCCTACCTACTATTTGAAAACCACAGGGTATCTTCTGGGAAACAAGACAGTCTCTGTTTGAGGGGGGAAAAAATCTCTAATAGCCCTAACCGGTTTGGCTCAGTGGACAGAGTGTCGGCCTGCGGACTGAAAGGTCCCAGGTTCGATTCTGGTCAAGGGCATGTACCTTGGTTGCGGGCACATCCCCAGTAGGGGGTGTGCAGGAGGCAGCTGATCAATGTTTCTAACTCTCCCTCTCCCTTTCTCTCTGTAAAAATTCAATAAAATATCTATTTTTTTAAAAAATCTCTAATATAGCTATAGCTGTCATTTGCTCTTATTTTTTATCCTCCCCAACCCCCCGCCCTCCTGACAAGTATTTGAAATCATACCAGAAATGAAGAGGTTTTGGGGTCAAATAATAGAACATTGAATGAAACTTGGCCTACAGTTGTCAATCCATCTTGCATTAGCAAAAATGAATATGTAAATGAATATAAGAAAATGAAACTAACGAGAAAAACTATTAAGAGAAAGACAAAATTCAAGTTTACTTTGAAAAACCTGATTTTATTTTCTGAATCAAAAAGAAGTATATTCATGTTAAATTCAGAATTTTTAACTTTCCAATGTTTCTCAAAATACTTTACTGATATTGTTAACAGTGCTCAGAACCGTGTAAAAGTTAACATCCAAAACCAAGTTTTGAAGAAAAAAGTTTAACCATAGGACCTATTTCTAAGAAGCCCTTCTCAAAGATCAAAGTATTAGCAATCCTAATTTTAAAAGAAAATAATTTTAATCATTTTTAGAAATTTAAATGACAATGGTTTAAGAGCTAAATATCAGATCTCTTTCATAACAGAAAAAATCTTAATTTGAAAAACTCATACTAGACAAATTCAATTAAACACAACACTTCACCCACCCCCAAAATTTCTAAATGCATCATTTCACCTTGGAATAGGAAAATTATAAAATGGAATTTTAAAATTATACTATATATATTAATACACCATTTTAATGTCATGTTTGCTAGCAGAATATGAAATTAAAACCAAATCCTACAAAGGACAGATGATAAGTGCTCTTTCATTGTTTTATTTAAGAGCCTATCCCATTCTTTGTTGTTTTCTGCCCCCATATTATAAAATCATGACCAAAGGCCAAGAGTCAATCCATTTACCTGAAATGAACAGCTAGTAGGTACTGGTCCTACATTTGTGTCCTTTACAAAAGTCCAGTACTCAAAAGGCTGGGGGGATTTATAAGAACATGATTTAGGAACACTTTAGAATCCCAAAGTACTCAGACATCCAGGTCCCTAAAATCTAGTAGATGTTATTCATAGGCTATTCACATGTACTGAAGCATGGCCAGCATGCAGGCAAACTTCTTTTATTTGTTCAAATTGAGGTAAACAGAGAAAAAATACTTAATAACAGAAGCTGCATAATGAAAACTAGCCTCCTTTTGCTGCTTATTTCATATAAACTGATTTTTAAGTTTTCTCACAAAAGAGACTTTAAAGCCAATAATTTCTCCGATTTCAGTTACCCAGAAAAATATGCTTCTCCTTTCAAAAGCAAAGTTTTCTTTTCATTATTAGTAAATAATTTTTTGGGGGAAAAAAAACAAAACAACAAACTTTTCCCCTCAGAATCTGCATTTTGTACTTAGCATGATATAATTTATTACTGTGTTTTTCGAATTTAGAAAGCATTCAGGCCTTAGTATTTTTTTCAGATACCAAGTAATTCTGACAGAATTCATAAATATGATTTTCTGAATTAGGAAGGAAAGTCTGCTAACATTTACAAATTACCAATAATTCTTCTTTCAAGCATAAAATGGCTGCGATTATGTTGATATGATTAATTTTTCAATACAGATACAAATTTAAATCTTGATTTTTTTTTGGCCAACATTTTAAATAGTCAAATTTTACTCTCCTTAAGGTTCAAATCAAAACAAAAAAAATGAATGAAAATTACCCAACTGGCAACAAGTCCCATATTTCAATGTTATTTTTAACCCAACAATTATAATCTACTGCCGGTAATTATTTATTTTTTACTTGTTTTTATTACATAAGCACTGGTCAGTTATCTAAAACAATAATTTGCAAGAATGATACTTGGCACTGGGTTTACCTTAATGCTTCTGGTATAAACAGAAACTCTTAGAAAATACCAGCTCTTAAGCACTTTTTATATCTGTAATTTGAATGTCCAATAGCATTTTTAAAGATGTTACTTTTCTATTGATAGATTTTAGGGAGTCTAGTCCCAGATAACATGGTTGATTAAAAAAAAAAAAATCCCTACGCCACATAGGATACTATACTTATTTTTTTCTATCATATGAAAACAGTTCCAGGCAGATCAAAAGTAGAAGAAAACCTGCCAAATCAAAATACTGTAAATAAAGTTCATCTTTTGTACCCAGAGCAGAAGAGCTCAAAAATCAAAATATCAAAATCAAAAGATCAACTCCCCTGGCCCCTACACACAAACACTCACCCAATACAATTTAGTCCTGAGCCCAGTATTTCCCTAAAAAGTTAATACCAGAGCTGTAAGGTACTTAAATCTGTGTTGAAAGCGGCACAATATAGATGAAATGCCCTAAGGGTTCAGCAGCTGCCCACCCATCCCTTACCCCCCACCCCAATAACGTGTAAAAGCTCCTGTTAAAGTTTCTTATGCTAATAAAGGCATACCACCTAGTGCGCTGAAACTAGCAGCATTAGAGCAGTCAAGTGAAACTAGAAAGCCTACAGGAATGATCTAAATGCCTACTCAGCAGAGACAAAGCAGCAGACAGGACCCTTTGCCCTCTCCTTCTGTTTGTAAGGAAGTGGTTGCATTAAACAGTCAGATTTAGCCACATTAACAAAAATTTAACAAAGCTTCCCCAAGACTCCAGAATAAAACCTGACCTTTTCAGTTAAAGGTTAAAGAGGGGCCTCTTCCATGTCCTGGAATTTAATGAGTTCAAAGATTGGCAATAAAGGAAAAAAGAAAGCGTTAGGGGTGTGATGGGAACAAGCTTTGGAGTTTATCGAACAGTCACACCGAGTTTCTCCAGCACACGGACACCCTTTTCTTGGTACTCCTGTCGGGTCATCCAGAAGTTGTCTTTGTCTTTCATGATGTCTGCTAGAACGGCACCACCCAGGAATACCATGTGCTTTCGGCGAGGTGGGTCTTCGATGCGGATCTTAAATTTCTAAAGAGAGATGATAAAATGTCACATGTGCATAGTGCTTTGTGCTGTGTAACGACTTCACACATTCTCCTGTGGAATTCTCACCAACGTCCTGTGGTCTAAGTAGGACTGCAGGATTTGGCATCTGAGGTAGAGACATTCTGTAATTTGCCCAAAGCTCATACTTAGTGTGCTTAGAACAGTCCTGATTTACACCTGTTACCCCATCATTAGTAACAGCACTATCAAGTGTCCTGATTTGAACGATAAATCCCATGACCACCCTATTGTGAGCCCAAATACCAGATTCTGCTTGTGGCAGCTTTTCCCATCAACTGGTGGATGAACACAGGGGTTGACCACTTAGCTAGCTATCAAATGAAGAGTTTGGATAAGAGGACTTCTGTGGTTTCTTCAAGGTCTAACGCTGCTATGACTTTAGTCCCATGCAATAGAGGAAGATTGAAACTCTTTTCTTATAAGCAAAGCTCTCTTTCTACTTTCTCAGATTCAAATAAAATATTCTCAAAGGCCAAATATGGTCAAAATAAATCCTGGGGGTATTGGAAGAAATGAACACAGTAACCAAATGAAAGACAAGCGGGAAAAGTTTAAAACTCTATGGCCAAAAAAACAAACAAACAAAAAAACTCTATGGCCAGTATTAACTGCCTAACAAGGACACACCTCAATCTGTATGGTCAGTTAACACCTAAAAGAAACCTTAAAATGATGTAGCAGTTTTATTAACAGTGCCACAAGTCCTGCAAAAGGACTCAAAATAACTGTCATTCTAAAGTATCTTTATGTCACATAAATGAATCGTAAGATGGGATAATACATCTCAGAAAAACACCAGTTATCAACTCTGAGGCTAACCTGTTATAATTATTAGAATTACTGTTTTGCTCGTAGGTAGGGGTCAGCAAACTGTTTCTGTAAAGGGCTAGATAGCAGATACTTGAAGCTTTGCAGGTCTCTCTGGACAGCTATAGAAATATGTGGTGATAGGTAACGCCATATAAAATGGCTCTGGCTTTGTCCAAAACAATTGTATTTACAGCAGAACAGCTGTTTGGGGCACAGGGCTGCAGGCCGACCACCCCCGCTCTAAGGGAAGCTGGGCTCCCAGAAGACACTGCTGCCCTTGAAGCTTTCTCAGCTGGCTGCTGTTTCTCTCTCACAGCACTTCCTGACCCCGGGACTTGGTAACAGGCATTCTTATTCTTCATTGCTGCTCCTCTCTCCTCCTCCCTACAGCTCCACAGGCCCTCAGAAACTCCTTCCATCCACTACTCCTTGCCTAAGTCATCTACAGATCCCCAGGTGATTTCTCCTCATATCTGCTCTCACTGCATGAGTGTGTGCCCTCTCCATCATTTCCTGACATTATCCTTGGTGAGTCTGTCCTCTCCCTCTCATACTCACTTGGAAAAACTGCAACTCAGGTGATCAACTCTCTACTTGCATTGCCCTCAAGCAACTGAACACTACAGGAGAAAAACTAAGCACCTTACTTCTAATGCATCACTTACTTCAACTGAGCCCTAGTGCTGCTCGGCAATCCCATTA